TGAATAAAACAGCTCTGTAATCGTAAGGTTCGAGATTTTACTATGGCTTTCCGGGCCCGAAAAGTTACCGGAGCTTTCGAGAAACGGGCCCCCGGTCACTTGTCTACGCAGTGCACACAGCGCATGCCAACAGGTTTTGCTAATTCAACTCAGCTACATAAGAGCGATTTTTTGATCATTTTCTAGAAAACTTGTTTCGCAGTATCCGAGCTAGAGCATTGGAGATTACAATGAGGTGTCGCTCATGCTTCAATATAAAAACGTCAAGAGTATATATTACCTTTTTCGTGTGAGTATGATGGAGCATAATAATGACGCCTTTCGAGCGTAATAGTGAGACTCTCCGACCATCGAGCATTAGCACAATGGTAAAAAATTTGAGCATAATCTGTAAAACCTGACAGCTGGGGGCCTCTATGGTGATTTTTCGAACTTTCTCGGTTCCGAAAAAGCTTAAGTGCTGCAGAAGGTTTTATCAAAGGTTGAATTATATTTCGGACTCGTCTCTTTCATCGATCGCCTTTTCCAAAGCAAAGCCAAACTACGTGTATTAAATTTTGAGGGTAGCTGAATAGGGGTAAGGACAACACCAAATCCTCATTGAGACGACCAAAAGGTGGCCAATGACAATAACTGACAAAAATTTCGGGACTTGACCGCTTAACAGGAGGTGGCCGCTAAACAGGTGGCCGCTTGATGGAGGTTCGACTGTGTATGCTGGATTTCCTGTAGATTTGGGGCAGAATTTTGCAAGCCTTTTGGAGTAATTTTGCGTGTCTGTTAGATTCAAATCATGAATATCAACGAGAGCCTTTTGTTTCTCTGGTTGGCAATAAGAAATACCTAATCTCCTGGATCTGAACTTCTCAAAATTCCCATGTTTAAATTTTTCTAGAAACTATGTCAAGCAGCCTTATTTTCGATCCGGTATTCGTTTGTGTTTTGTTGTTGTTGACATGTCGCGGAGCAACCATATTTTCCGGCGACTCGATGTACAATATGACGTAAGATCTCAATCAAAACAAAAGATGTTATTGTGATCGTCTACTAGAAGTATAAAGCTATCTGAAAACATGCATGCAAGCTTTTACCGCCTAAAGATGATTTAAGTTTGTCTCACCTCTGTCGTGTCAACTAAGGTAAGTCTCTCTTAAGATTTGGATTTCAGAAAACTTACCACTACTAAGAACTCAAAATACTTTCGGGTTCGCGTGGTACTTCGCAGTTTTAGAGGCCCACCGGCTTAAAGCTCCTCAACGACAGAGTTCTCGTTCACAGATATTTTTTTCGTTTTTACTCAAACCTCCCCTACTTTATTTGGCATTATGGTATGGCCAATGTTTTTCCTTGAACACACGAGGTGTAGAATTTTGCATCTAATCGCAACTTCACCGTGCTCGTACTTGATTCTTGTGTTTGTTTGTCACACTTGAAAGACCTCTAAATTCTTTCTTTCTTACAAAACTACGAAGGAACTTGCTTAGCTGGTGTTTAATTTGCATCTCATTGTATTGACCTAACTGGCGCAGACGTGTTTAACAATTAATTAAGCCACTCGAGCTCGCACGAAGTATAATATAACATAATTTCTAACCTTTACCCTCTTTCAATCCAGGCAGTTTCTTTATTGCGTCAAACCAAATTTAAATGTAAAACAAACTCGCTTAGGCGTGTTTTTCAGACACTGTAAAGTAGCATAGTGGAACCCTGCTGGGTAATACGGACACCGAAGGGGCACGCTTAAGTGTCGATCCCGTATTATCCCGGTGTTCTAATTTTAAGTGGGTTCTCGAATGAATAAATATGACGGATACATATGATTTGTCGAGAAGAAAAAAAGACTAAAGCATACAATTTAGAAGTAACAGAACTTATCGATGCCTTTTCTACGGTTTAAGCTTAAACTAAAAACTACTCTCATTCGAGAGTTAAATCGAGCCTTAATTCAAATAAAAAAGAAGACCGCTGAAATATCAGATCTATCAAGCAGAATTCCGTGAGAGAGTTCGTGGAAGAATTCTAGTAGGGATCAGTGGACAAATCTTACTGTTAAAATCTTACTGTTCAAATCTTACTTTTCGGAAAGTGATTACTGCACCAGCTGCCATTTCAATTTATTTTTCGTTCTCCATTCAAGTCACGAGAGTCGCTCGTGTTTATCTTTGTAGATTGAAGGAGCTCAGTCACGGTATTTTGAGATATTTAGTTCACGTACAAAATCACATTTATATTGAAGCAACCTGAAAATAGTAGTTAACTAAGATATAAAAACACCAAAGAAACAATATTAAAAAATGAAGGAACAAGGATGGTTAAGGATGGACAAGATTCACAAGGATTACAAACGACGAACTTGAAAAACTTAGGCTTAACTTTTCAAGATGCGCAAACGGTGACGTAGCTCCTTTAAGATATGCAAAATCATACTTAACAAAAGTAAGGTAAGGCAAAGTATGCATACGAGTCAAGTGGCCCACCAGGCCGGAGCTTACCCCAGTGTCTGTCTACTACCCCTTGGATGGGATGCTAGTCCATCGCAGGGTTACCCTCAACATTAAGGTCGCCGGTATCCATTAATACACCTGAGTGGAGAGAGAGGCACTGTGAGAGTAAAATGTCTAGATCAAGAGCACAACACAATGTCCCCAGGCAGGGCTCCAACCCAGACCGCTCGATCCGGAGTTCAGCGCACTAACCATGAGGCCACCGTGCCTCCCACAAGACTAGACTATTCACTTGTGTACTTTGATTTTTAGACCCCTTAGCTGCACAGTTTCGTGATGGGAAATTCTGTCGACTGTTGCTACACTACTCGCCAGTACAATCAGTGTTTGTTCCCATGTATTCGTTCGTGTTCGTACACCAATCGGCGAGTGTGGTACAATTACGATGGACTGGAAAGCGTGCAACCTTTGATTGACATCATCAAGCCCGAGAGATGTGTCATTCACAAGTTCCCGAGGACATTGGTGGACATCAATGAAGATAGGGAAATAGATAGTGCACTGAAATCAGGTAATGATGTCATAACAAGAAACGAATAAGAAAACGTTCCTTCATTCTGCATGTCATGTAAAACCTACTAAAACGTCCTAGGTTGACAGGTGTTCTCAGAACCTCTATGGTTAGCTAGAACTCCACCCGGCTACGCGGCAGGTCATAGCTCCGGAGAGAGTCTTTCTGATTGTCCCACCCTCGACTTCTCAGTCAGAGCCACTCGGTTTGCGATGGTCAGGTCGGGAAAGCGAGTAATTTATATAGATTTCACGGCTATCCTTATTGGTCCTATGCACATGATCTGCAAGTGCTACTCACATGTAAAAATATCGACAGGGAAACATGACCAGTATGTGCTTTCGAGTTGTCATGTACCACGTGCCCCGTTTTGATCAATGATGCAACAGAAAAATTGTAGATAGACTCTAACTGTAGCAGTGGATGTCACACGGCGAAAGCTACAGTTCGTTAATGTTTTTGCACTGTTCTCTAAACTACACAGGGTTAAATTCCCCAGGACAACTTGCCGCCATTTGTCGCTTTGCCAGCAACTACGGTTACCGCGTGCGAGCTGTGGGGACTGGGTCCTCGTGGTCACGACTGACGAGTACGCGTGATATTTTAATTGACATGAAAAATTTAAATCGCATTTTAACCGCAAAGCCGACGAACAGGAACGACAACTTGCAGAAAGAATACGTGGACATTGAAGTAGAAGGAGGAATGCAGGTGCTCAGTTTTGTGGAGAAACTGGACAAAGTTTACGGACTGGCTCTACCCATGATGGGCAACTACGCTGGACAGACTATGGCAGGAGTCGCCAGTACATCGACGCATGGCTCTGGATATTTTGCTGGGACAATGGTATGTGAAATACACCTATTTGGGAGATGGGGATCAGGAGACGGGAGTTTACCGGTAATGCTGCATTATTGATTTTATGCTCCTTGTCTACAATAACTGTGAGAATTCTCGCGCGCTATTGGTCAAAATCGGGGCTTTGGTCGATAGATAAGATAGGGTTTCAAAGGGGTTAATCATTAGGCGTAAAAAATATTAACCGAAGAAGATTTTAGCCACGGTATAGTGAAAGTCGCGTCAAGGAATTTTTGTGTCTTGTCTTACTAAAGTATGGAAGGCTATTAGTCTACAATTCTTATTTAAATACCTTTTTCCCATCTCGGAATGGTTTTAAGGCCTTAAATAGATTTTGCAGAAATCAAAACAATTTTTAACTTTTTTAAACATTGAAAATTGATTTTTAACCTTTTAAAACAACGGTAATTAATTTTTAAGATTTCTGTTAACCGTAGGGAAAATTTATTAACCGTTTGCATTGAAAGCCACTACGATTCGCCATCGAGACCCTTATAAGAGTAGAACATAAAAATAACATGAAATGTAAGACAAAGAGCTAACTTTCGGAAAACGTGGAAACGGCCGGAACATTTCCAAAACACCGACACGGACGGGTGATGGGAAAGTCAATTGGTCCATTGAGTGAAATTCTCGACAGACTCGTTGGCTTCAAGTAGGAAAAAATTCATCAAGAGCTGTGGCGGGGGCGCGCAGGTTTCGCACTGATTGCCGCCTAGTTCGCCAGGAATGTGATAACACCAGATCGACAACATTTTCTCATGGTCTGCACTCATTTATAGACCGTAAAAATGATGCCGTGAAATATTCAACACCTTGTAGTCTCGTTGTAATTGATCCACTCAAGTTTCGTCATTTCTACGGTCTAAGTCTTGAGCATGGACAACTGAAATGATGATGTTTATTAAGTTGACAAAAAACTAGCAATTTTTTTGTTGTTGTTACTCCTCCCAGTCTACTTCAGTCGTCGGTTTTCATCTCATCATTTCAAACGGCATCCAAGTTAGGCTGAGCCACGGAGACGAGACCTTTGACCAGTGCCAGGAGAAACTCAAGCATGCGCAATTTGGAGGTGGTGCTGTTGAGGTAAAAAGCACCGAGGTGTTCCGAGCAGTTGCTGTAGGCCTGGGCTCCATGGGTATCATCTACTCGATAACGTACCGCTGTATTCCTGTATACAACATCGAGGAGGAACGGACCGTCGTACGGATTGGGTGGCCCGGGAAGGAGTCGTTCCAAGTGAAACACAAATTTGAACCGATGTTTACTGATATCGCGGAAGGGGAATTTTTCTCGTTCTTTGTGAATCCATACCCTGAGCCAAAAAGGTAATGCAGTGGTCGGTAGCTGCCGGTAGACTATTTATCGACGAAAACCTCGCTGTGCCGTTCTGCAACATCTCTACCAAATCGCAGGTTTTTAGTAGACTGTTTACAGCCTGTCTATTTTTCAACACACGCCAAAGGAAAAGCGAGTGGAGCGATTGCCAGTGCGAAGTACGAGGGGGTGGGAGTGGGGTCGGAGAAGCGAGCGAATCAAGCCGATCGCAGAATTATCTCAGTCCCCAGTCCCTACCCCGTCAAGTCTCCCGTTTTGCGTTGGCGTCCAGTTCTCTCGCGATTCTTCCCGCGCGTTCAACGATCGAGTGAAATATAAGCTTGTGAACAGTCTAGTTTTGAGGAGTGAGGTGGCTCACAGGTGAGAGCACTAGCCCACAACCCNGCAATTTTGACTTGAATTTTTCTTAATTCTCCGTTCTAAGCACATTTCCACCGGGCTCAATAGGACCAACTCATTTTTGGAATTTTTCTTGCTTATCTGTTCTGAGCAGCTAGATTTCCACCGGGCCAGGAGAAGCCATGGGCTTCTGGCCTTGCTCAATAGCATTTTTCCCTACCATGTGGAGTATTGTTTTTCAATCTTCTATCTTCATAATTATTATCTTCCTTGCAGCGTGCGCACAGCTGAATTCTGTTTGCCGCTGTCCCAGTTAGATGAGGCTTTAGGTGACGTCATCGACGTAGCCAATCATTACGCTGAGAAGTTTTCCCAGTATTCGTTGTTGCCGATCTACGTACGAATAGTAAAGACAGATGACTTGTATCTGAGTCCTGCTAACGCCAAATGTCCAGAGGGTGGAACCAACGAGCATGCCTGTTACGTTGAGGCAAGGGAATTGATTACTTGTTGATAGACTACGAAAAGTTGCTCTATTGGTTATTCCTTAGTGCGTGACGCGAAAAAAATAAAAATGGCCGCGCGAAGTCCTCGCGGTGAGAAGCACGCTTCCCGCCCACAGGATTTTGCGCGGCCATTATTTTTTCTCGCAGTTTTTTTTTTCTTTCCTTTTTTACACATCACGCACGACAGAATAAGCGAAAGAGGGACTCCTCGTAGTCTACTTTTGAATGGATACATGTACAAACCTACCGACGATTGTGCTTGCCGAGAAAAATGTGCCTTATAATGAGCCTAG